TTTCGAGGTCAAAACCCACACCGGTTTCGGGTTCTTGTGCATTATCGGGGGACGTAATTTTCCTTATTAGCCTAGATAATATACCTCGTGATCACTAGCAAATTACTGGGGCTTTTAGTGAAATTTAAAAATTAAATAAGTGGAAAAGCTCTCTCAATAAAAAAATTTAAAACTAAATCTAGGTTAAAGAATGGCTTTTTTTTTTGTTCAGAACCCAAAGTTTTATTAAATATCAAGCATCTAAGTTTATGAATTCTAATAAGTACTATAGAATACGGCTCTTTTCAATAAAAAAAAATTGGGTCTTGAGAAACCGCATGCTCCCCCCTCCCCGTTAATCCAAAAGATCCGGAAGCCTATTACTTAAAAACGGAAGCTATAAAAACTGGGTATGCCGCTCTCTCTCCCTCGTTCTCTCCCTTTCTCTCTCTCTCACTCTCTCTCTCTCGCCTCTCTCTCTCTCTCTCTCCGTCTCTCTCTCTTGCTCTTGTTCCCTAGACCCTGCAAACCTAACCCCAAATCGCCAACTGAGAACAGCAAAAGCTAGACTTTCCCTTCTTCCTCCCAAACCCTATAAAACCCTTAAATTGCAGGTTGGGAAGGTTGCACTCCCATAAAAATCACCTTGCCCTTCCTCCTCCCCTGCTCTGCCGTAAGCTATGTGATCGGCTAATTGGCATGCATTCCCGGGGCATTCGAGTATCACCTTATTTTTGGGAGCGGGAGAGAGAGAGCGAGAGATAGCGAGAGAGAGTGAGGGAGAGAGATGGAATATAAGGGATGCAGCACTTGCCTCGAGCTCTTGTTGAGGTCTGCCTATCTTTGGCTCCCGGGTGCTTCTCACGCTATGCCGATTGTCTACCTGAAAAGTTTATCCTTTTGAGGCGTTTTGCGTATTATTGAGCTGCACGTGTGAGCAAGGTCTTTGAGCGGCTATCGTTTTGATGATATTTTATTGATTTTCTAGAGAATTCCATAGAATCTGCAGCTGTTGCAGCTCTTCTGTCTCTCACTCTCCCTCACTCACTATCTCTCTCTCTCTCTCTCTCTCTCTCTCGCTCTCTCTTTCGATCCGGCTCTCTAACATGAGTAATCCGTTATCTAGTACTTGCAAAACCGTTCACCCCCACGTTTACCCCGTTAATATTTGCCTTCCGAGGCCAACACCCGATTTTTCCGTTCACATTGTAATTCGGAAATTTTTATCGCTCTGTTGACAATTCCGTTTTGGTATTTGAAAGCTTTTTCCTTTTTTTGGAGCGATCCTTGGCCCCAAAAAGCCCTCGGGAAGTTTCGGAAGCTTTAAAAGGGGCCTTTCCCGTAAATAGCCCTCCACTAGCCTCACTATGAGGGATCGGGTTTCAATTGAGCCAGATCGGGTGCGAAATTTGGAGGCTCCTTTCTAGATTTTCATTTCTGGCTCGGTTTTTAGATAATTTGTTGCGCAGTAAAACTCATAATGTAGATATGACCGAAAATAATGTTGTTTAGGTAAAAAGCCTAGCTTTTCAGCCTGTACGCAGTTTTGAAGGTCATTTTCTTTGAAAGTTTCATTAAATCGAAAAGAATACTGAATTTTATACGGTTTAGGCCAGTTAAAGTTTAATTGTTTCTCCCCTGCTATATCTCTCTCGCTGTCTCTATCCCTCTCTCTCTCTCTCTCCCTCTCTCCCTTTGTCTCTCTGTCTCGCTCTACTAGCTCTCTCTCTCTATCTCTCTCTTTCTCTCTCTCTCTCTCTCTCTCGCTCTGTCTTGCCTGTCTCTATATGCCAGAATTCTTTAAGGAAATTTCCATCTGCCTTCAAAGCCCCCTGAAAACCTCTTTCTGAACCTCTCCAACCTACAACTCAAACTTAAAACAGTTCTTACTTCTCTACCTCCCCCCCAAAGTCAGCACTTGAAAATGCCGACCGCGTGTCCCCCTCGTTGATGTTATTTGTCTTACAAACCGCTGGACCCCAGAATGTGAAAAGGGGGTCCCGCCACGACAATACCCCCGGTGTGGCTCTAGCATATTTTCTGTTTATACAACCGAAAAAAGGAGCGCTGGGTGGAGGGATCGTCTCCTTTCTATTTCTCCGCTCCACCTCCTTTTCAATGCTTCTCTGAATTCCGAACCGCTCCTATTCACCGTAGCACGTCGTGTTCTATCCGACGAAAATACATTGTACACCAAAAAACACTCTTGGGCTTTGGGTTTTGTAGTTAAAAAAAGAACAATTCGTGTGTTTTTCATGGCGTGATGTATTTTGAAGCTATCCTCATAACGTTGATTTTCTTAAATCAACTTTTTTTGCTTTAGATGCTTATCGGCTATAAGATGGTACATTTTGCATGCAACTTCATTTCCGGAACACTGTTCTTGACGTTTTTGTTGTATAAACGCGAATACCTTGTATTCAATTGCAATTCCCAAGATTTTAAGCTGTTTCTTTTTGCATTCCGAACTACGCATCCGAGCGTTTATTGTTTTTCTACAGAAATACTGAGTTAATGGAGGAGTTTAAAAGCCGTTATATGCCAATTTTTCCAGTACCAGCTCATTTCGATGTACTACTCTTGACGTTTAGGGGTAAAATGTTTAGGGTATTGCTCTGGGAACGAACTTTTCTGGAGGTACGACAACTCCCTTAAATCAAATTTTTTAGGGCGGCATATTTTTAGGAATTCCAAAGCACTACATATAAGCCAGGAACAAAGCCATAAAATTTAGCATCAATCGAAAAGACTTCATAATTTAGCGTTTTGGTTTATTTTTGGTGGTGGCCTTCTAGAATTTGTCGATCAGCCGCGTTAAAAACAACCATTTTCAATACAGTACCCGACAAAATTTTGAATGAAATTGATTGAGAAAACTTGAGGAGTATCGATGAGAAATTGAGGTCGTTACGTTTGGGAAAGGGGTTTAAAGAAAATTTGGCAGAAGATTTAAAAAGCTTCTAAAGTATTTAGATTATCGGCAGCCTTTTTAGGCTTGTTTTCCTTAAAGATATAACTTCACTGCCCAACTGTAGCCACCCTTTGCGAAATTCCGCCAAAACACGCGGCCCGGGGCGAAATCAGCTCCGCGGGCCAGGTCTCCAGAAAAAGCCTCCCACCCCGGTTGTGTTGACTTTGTTATCTCTAGCCTGTATATTTGTGTGCCCAGGGCAAGCTGCTTCTCCCCCCTCCGATCCGTTTCTTTCCGACGGTCCGGCCCTTCTCCAGGCCAATAAAATATTCCGAAACGCCCCGACTTTTCTTTGTGATTCAGCCGAGCGATTTTGCAGTGCGGATTCGGATCGTCCGATTTTGAAGTTTTGTTTTTACGTAACGGTTTTAATTTTTTTTGTGTTTTGTAGGTATAACGGCTTGGATGACTTGTTTTTGTATTAAACTAATAGTATTTTTGTAGCGACGAAAATGTTAAAACCGGCGCAATAAATTTTTTGGTGGCTAAGTTTCAGTTAGAGCGTCTTAAAAGGATCGTTTTGTCAGTAAATAGTTTTCTGCTGGGTTATATATGTATTTAAAGGGATTTTGAAGCCTCAGAATCGACCCGTTAGTCGGCTAGGTCCCGACACATTTTTAAAAACTCTACATCAACGTATTCGAGTTGACCAAGATTATCTTTGCCTCTTTCGGCTTCCCGCGTAGCTGTCGATACCTAGTGGGCGCAAGGGGGACGATTCGGGATAGTTCCCAGTCCCTTTAAAGTAAAAACGCGGGATTTCCATCAATAATAATCTGAAATCTGCGGTCTCTCTCTCCCAGTTTCCTCGCTCTCGCGCTCTTTCCCGATGTCCGTCTCATTTTTCACACACCCTCTTGCTCTTTGTTTCTCTCGCTCTCGCGCTCTCTGACTCATTTTTGATTTCGCGCTCACTCATGCTCTCTCTAGGCCTATGCTCTGCCACTCTCTATTCCTCTTTTTTATCACTTTCATGTGGCCGCTCGTCGCCTAGCTCCCGGTTCTTTTCTTAGATGTCATGCTCCCTTTAAACGCGAATTTCAAAATTTCTTCATCCTTTCACCTCCCATTCACCCCAGACCACCGTGATGAACTGAAAAAACAGCTGCCTGCCCTCCCGAATGTTGAATGTCCGGTCCCGTGGTTGCTCTTCCTCCCCTAGCCGCTGAGCGCGAGCCACACCGGCGAGGCATTATCGCCTTTTTCATCTGGTGAATCTCGTTTTTCTGGCGTGGGGAAATCGAGGGGCGGATGAGGGGGAAGAAAGTAGAGGATGGACTTGGAGTGGCCGAACCTCAACGCCTCCCTGGGCCACAATTTGTCTTGCTCCCCGGATGATCTCGCCCCTCCCTAGAAAATGCAAAAATGCGTTCCCTGGGGTGTTGGCGGGTATTTATGGGATTTTTTTTGCAGTTTAATAGATCTTTTCTAAACTTCTTTCTTCTAGTCATTCTATTTTTGTATTTTTTGTGTTTTCTAAAGACAATTATATAATTTTTACAAATGGTCAGGCATTTACTGTTACCCCAGTTAAACCTTCTTGCTTTCCTTATATCCTTTCACTTTTTTAAACCTTTGAAACTTGTTTCTGTTGAGGAATTTTTGTCTAAAAATTCCCGAATTCACACGCCTACATTTAACGTTAAAAAATTCCTCAGTTACAGTTTTCAAAACCATAAAACTCTATGGAAAAGCTTGCTTTGAAAAAATTAGAACTTTCGTGCTTTTCTGATTGATAGCCGCAGGCGGCGGCGGAGGACTGTAGAGTTGGCAGCTATCCTTAGGTCACTGGTTCGAATCCGGTTGGTTGGAATTCTTTTTGCTTTTTGAGGAGGAGTTAGAGGGGGGCTAGGTAAAGCTTTTGGTAGCAAGGAAATTCGAAATTTCGATAATTGAAATGCGAACCACGATTTCTGCACCTCATTTCATCCAATAACTGTATTTTCTTTCTTTATTAAATTCATTATAACCATTCAATCTCCCTTTTCTTTCTTTCTGTTTTTTTTTTTGCGTTAAATTTTTTGAAAATTGCAACTTTTCTTTATTCAAGATGCTCTCCTCACATCGGCTCTCGAACCCGGAGCCCGGCACCTCGGCCAGCGAGCTACTCGAGGCGTCCAAGAAGCTGTACGTCAAAACAGCGATACTGCGGCAGACCCGGCTAGGTAAAAACAGGCTCGAAATAATAATAATAATAATAATAATAATAACAATAATAATGAAAAATGAAAATGAATAAAAATAGAACAAATATATCTACTGAGAACTACTAACCTATTTTTTCAGTCCCCGACAGGCCGAGGATGTTCACCTCCGGCAGTGATGAAGAAGAGGAAGAAGTGGAGGTGCCAAGAAACTTGGTGAGTCATTGGATTATGAGAATCGTATCGGGATCCAAGCATGATTTTTTTTCTTTTTTTCTCTCGCTATCTCGCTCTTCCTTTCATGAATCGATATTTGTGCCATCCAGTATTCGCCAAATTGTTCCGCGACATTCCTCCTTACTTCCGGGGCTAGTCAGAGTGTCGCACTGGGGGTCACGCGTTCTTTTTCATATCAATGTTTCCGAGAGAATTTACTATTTTGCGGAAAATGATGATGCTCCTGATTTCCGGTCGGATCACGTTTTTCCTTGCATGGAATGAGGGCAATTTTTGAGTGCATTTGGCGTGTGACAGTTGACCTACCACGTGAGGCCCGAAGAGGGAGAGAGAGAGAGAGAGTAAGAGAGAGAGAGAGAAAGCGTGAGAGAGAGAGAGAAAGAGAGCGGGAGATAGAGTGGGCAACAGCCAAATCGAGACGAGGAAATTACAACATTCTAGCTAATCGCTAGCGATTTTTCCCACGCTGCGTATCCTTAATCTCTAAATAACTACACTTTTTTATACAAGCCTTGTACTTTTTAGTTTTTTCATTAAAGTATTGTGAAAGCCTTTTTCTTATCCCCTTAGCCTATTAGTCCAAAATTCCCCCAAAGATCGAAAAACGCGCCGCACTTCGCCCTCACCACTGAAAATTCTCCGCCGCATCCCCCACCACCGCCGTGGATATCATTTTTTGATGGATTCCCAGCCGGTGCGCGTATCAAAGAGCGGCGCGCCGCACTCGCGTCGTGGTGATATGGGATTTTTGAAAATTCTCAGGGTCGTAGAGGGGAATTGGGCTTGATAAGGTGGATGGGATGGGGTCGATGATTGACCGGAAAGATCGCAAAATCGAAGAGGTAGCAAAAAACTTAAAGTGGTGGTGGTGCACCGCCCCTTGAAAAACTTAAGATTCGAATTTCTTTTACTAGGCATAAGTTGAAGCTTAAGGCTAAGTTAAAGCCCATGTCTAAGCCTAAGTCTAAGCCGAAAGCTAAGCTAAGCCTAAAAAATTCTAAGCTTAGTATTCTTCCCGAAACAATGGGTTTTCTGGTGTTCGGTCCCGATTGACGCCTCTTTTTCTGCTTCAGACGACCATTTCAAACAACCCCCCATCCCATTCTCAAAGATTCTCAAAGATTGCGATTTTCTTGGGCCGAACTTCTCCCCCATGATTGATCAGATCACCGCCGGTTTTTGGCGGTGCTGGCGGTGTTCACGGGGGTTGTATGAAAAACGACTGTTGACAGCAGCAAATCGTAGCCCGTTCGCTACGAAAGACTCCGCTATCGACACGAACGCCACCAAGGGGTATCGTCCATCTCTCTCTCTATCTCTCTCTCATTCGCTTGCTCGCTCTCTCTCTCTCTGTCTGTCTCTCTCGGCGGCTCTCTCTCTCTCGCTAGATCGCTGATTCGGAACCGGATTGGGTGTGGTGATTCGGGTGAGATGGAGCACGTTGAGAAACAGATGGCTTCTGGGCGATTGATGACGGCGTGGGCTCGCAGGGCTCAAGCTGGTCGTCGTCGCCGTCAGCTGATAACTTTTAAAGCTATGGGGGTATCGATTTTTAAGGATTGTAAGCGAAATACTTGCTGGTGCTGTCCCTTTAAAATTTGCCTTTTGGGTCTCTCTCTATCACTCTCTCCCATACTCTCTCTTAATACGGAAACGTAGTTTTATGCTCACATACTACCTTGAATTTTTACTACTCCATTGCCCAATACTACCCCATTTCCCCTGGTATAACCCATTTTCCATCCAATAACTACTCACATTTTCGTGCCCTTCTCCTCTCCCCGGCCTACATTTTCTTCCAAACTCTTTTTCCACCTCACTCCTATCCCCATTTCATCATCGATCACCACGTTTCCGGGGCTGTTTTGGAGTCGCGCGTATCGTTACGGAATGGCTCGTACACGCGCACGACTTGTTTGCAAAACTTGGTCAACCAGAAAGTTGACAACTTGGTGATTTGCCAAATTTGATCGTTGTGTTTTTGCTGAAGGAGATCACCTCTCTCTGACACTATCTGTCTATCTCTCTGTCTCTCTCTCTCTCAGTCTCTCGCTTTTCCCTAATCGAACACGACAATAAGGACCTGATACTGTACTTTTCTGTACTCTGGACGCTCTCCGGACCCCAGTACTGTAGCGGAAAACAACAGAAGGGGGATACGGTAGCCGTAAGGGCTGTCAACTCGGTACTGTATCCGAATTTTCGGCATTTTTACATTATTGAAAGGAAGTTTGAAACATTTAAAACATAGATAAACTTTTAATCCATTTTTAGGCTACGGTAATCCCCCAGAATTTTCTTGAGATCCTCCCTATAAAAATGTTTTTAAGTACAGTTTTTGTATAAGCTTTGTAGTTCTAGTTTCTCCAAGATTAGCCGAGTTGAGCGCTAGTATCCCAATTTGGCAAAGAGCCAGCACGCGCCACTTGACTCAGTTTTTGCCGAGCCGCCGATTTCGTCCCCTAGTCTCTAGATTCCGGCCAATTTTTGCCCATTTTTCGCGTTTCAAACTCTCCATTCGTCAATTTGTTGTGTCAGCGCCCTGCAGACAAGCCAAACAATATCGTGTGGCAATCGAGGGGAGTGTCAAAATTAGACCCGGACAAAGTGACAAATTTTTCACTACGTCGAGCCAAACAAGTCGCGGTTTTTGGAGCGCGGAGAGGGGTGGGAAAACCGCATATTTCGTCATTTTCGGAAAGAAAGAGAGAGAGAGAGAGAGAGAGAGAGAGAGAGAGAGAGAGAGAGAAATATCGAGAATGGACTTGGACTTATTAGTTGGCCGAGCTGTCCTGGGGGGTCACGCGGTGCACTTTTTGACGATTTTTTAGACGCACGGAGTATATAACGTAGTCGTTTGTTAGTACTGCATAGGTGCAAGAGAATTTGCCATTTGAAGTCGTTTCGCTTTTTTACTAAACATTTCCTTACATCAACTTACACTGTTTTCTGTGTGGCCTTAATTATTTAACCAACCCGGTCCCTGAAGATTATTTTATGATTAAAAAATGGAAAAATCTGATTTTTTTTTTTATCCGCGTTGATTTTGTCATTTTTAGACTTTCGATTTTCTTTCTTTTGCTTAGAATACATAGAAATGGTAGTAGAACCGCGAGCCATGCGTTGTTAAAGAACTTTTTCTTACTAAGCGGCCGCAAAAAAATAGATTCTAATCAAAATCCGAGCAGCCAAAATCCCGACAGCCATAATCCCAACAAAGAAAAACAAATTTTGGACTGTCGGGATCTCACTGATCCTGGCTGTCGGGATTTTGTGCCGCTGTCGGTATCTTCGGGATTTCGGCATTTTCTGGCTAAAAACGGCCAATACGTTACGTGGTATAATGCAATGCGTTGCGCAATAGAAACCCGGCGAGAAAGCAGTGATAATTCATAGCTAAATCCATAGCCCGTGCCTTGTGCGTCCCTTGAAGCTTCCTAATTTCTTCCTCTTGGCAGTTAAAGATGTACAAAACGTACAAAATGCCAAAATCCAGACAATCACTTCCAGGCACGAGCAGCTCAGCTCCAATTTTTCAGTTTTTCAAGGTTGTGGATGATCTCGGAACTCGGATCTCGGATCTTCATTCTCCTGTCGCCAAGGCCGCTCAAAATCTCCGGAAATCCACAAAATCCCACACCCAGTTTTCTCAAGCTTTCAAGCTTTTCCCCCATAAAACGAACATTTTTTCCAAAGCACGGCAGTACACTTTTTGCCCTGGCCCGCAATTCCAGTCCATTGTCCATGCGCGGGAATTGAGAACACCCCCAATTTCTCTAGGCTTTTCCCTCCCATTCCCATACACCCAACTTGGCCTGCCGCCCATCCTGGTGTCGTTGCCGGGCTCGAGAACTCGCAGTACTTTTTCTTCCATTTTGCCACCAAAATTTCTGACCATTTCCCAGCGCATCTCGATTGCGCGAGTTGAATTTGGCAAAGAGATAGCCAATGTTGCTCCCGTTTTTGCGGTCAGTTCCCTCAAGCGCTTGTGACGCCGCTGAGTTCTATGCTTTGCAACGGGAATTTGGTTTATTAGACGAAAAGTTGCAGCGATATTCCCTTTTCAACATTTGTTTGAGTCGCTCCCCTTGAATTTAAGCCTTAAAATTGACGCAAAAGCTTGTGTCACCTCGTTGAGTAGTGTAGTACCGCGTACGTTTTTGTAACAAATCGTGCTATCGCGTATCAGGTTGTAGCGTAAGGTAGCGTATCCCAGCATTAAGCAATGCATCTTGACAGAGTGTATCCGAATGTAACGAATTTATGGTATTTTCACGTAGCGTACCTCTGCATATCACACTGGAACCTTTGCTAGCATACCATATCACATTGTTCTCGCGTACTGCACGATTACGCATGGTATTGCAGCGTAGCGAGACGTCTCCAAACGGAGCTCAGCCTACTATACCCGTACTGTATCATCTTGTCTTTCATATTACCGTGAGGTACCGTATCCCTGCGTACATACCTTTATCCACCGACATTGTAATGTATGGTATTTAGGCGCCACAAAATTACCGCTTCGTAATGTTGCATATCGCCGTGCTCATTTTACCATAATATTTTATTGTACGTTGGGGGCTGCACCGTAGCGTACCAACAAAATGCGAATCGCAGTTCAGGTACGGTAGCGGTGAATTCGAATTTCATGCGTATCGTCCTATAACGTGACCTAGTTCACCCGTGCTATTAAGTGTTTTTTTTGTTGCTGTACCGGGTCGTTTTCCGTTCTGCCTGTTTACAGCCTAACGTCCCCCACCTTTAAAATACTGTACTCCAAAAAACACCCCTGAACATAAGCCCGAAAAGCGAAACAACACCCTGATCAGCCACACCCAATCCAGTCTCCGATCTTTCCCTGGAGGTTTTTTCCGGGTTTCCCTTCCAGCAGCAATTAGGCAGGGTTGTAGAAAGTGGCCGTATTTCTTCGTAAATCGTAATGTGAAAAGGCGTGCCGGGATCCCGATTTTGTGTCCGATGCGGGGGGTTGCTAGCGCTTTCCGATCTTCAGCCCGATTGACCATCAATATTTCGCGCCATCTCTCTCTTTCTCTCTCGCTCTCGCTTTCTCCCTCATTCGCTCTCACTCCCTCTCTGTCTATTTTTCTCTGTCTCTCTCTCGCTCTCTCTCTCTCTCTTTCTCGCTCCCACTCTCTCGCCTCGTAAATTCGGATATCCGGGGAACGGCCCCGGCGGTCAACTCGTGGCGGAGAAATCCACACAACAAGATGGATGGCGCACGATTTAGAAAAGGTCCTCCGCGCGCTCGCGCACAAAAGCCAGACCCGATCCACAATCGCTTATCATCTCCAATCCATATTTTTGCTGACCGTCTAGAGGTTGTGGTGGGGAGTGGGTTAGATAATTGCTCCGTTACCTTAAAAGATATATTGGAAGGGTTCGGGATATTCTTGAAGAATCTCTGCTAGTTTTTATTTTGACTTTTGCTAAGTGATGTTTGCTGGTCTGCCTTTTGGGATTTTTAGGCTAGACAAAGGTTAGGGGTTAGAGTTTGTTCGCGTATGAAGATGTTGAAATTATGAATGTCGAAACTTGACATGTCGACATGTCATCATGTCGAAATTTCATAATATCGAATTTACATAATTTCGAAAAATTTTCATGTTGAAGTTTTAGATTAGCCAAGCCATCAGAGGAATCGCTTAAAGGGCTGCCGACGGCATGTGTCAATCCCCCCCTCATCAACAAATTGGCAATTAGCCAACAGGGGAGAGAGCGCGCCCTGGGGAGAGGCGCAGAGATATTTTCTTTTCCGCGCGTAACCGATTGACTATGCCGTCGGCATCCCTTTAAATAACAACAAAAAGTGTAACTTTTCGAAATTAATCTTATTAAATCCCGATGATGCGGAATTTCGTCATTAAAATTTCGACAAATTTCGATATTTTCAAGAACCCTCAAAGCTCTACCACCAATATTTTTCTATTTTTTTTCACCTGCTCTCAAATTCCACCCTCGCATGCCGGGTTTCCGGCCCCTCCAATCATTTTTCCGCATCCATCTCTCTTTCTCTCTCTCCCTCTCTCTCCCGGTGCATAAGTTATTTTGAGCGACCGGGTCAAATTTTTTCCGGCTGACTTTCAGCAGCCATCCCACCCCAGCAAAACGGCATGATAAATGACGCGACCCCAGCTGAAATTTCCTATCATTCGAATCTCAATCCGTGAATCCCAGGAAACAAGAACCCAACCCACACGCATCACCTCGGCTTTTTGCCCCCATTTCAGGGCGGGGTCGTCTCCTGGGTTTGGAGATACCCGGCTGATATAAGATGACAATTTTCAAGGGAACCCCCGGCTGGGAGTCAGCTGGATCGTACTCTGATGGTTAGGTTCTGTACATAGGAAGGATTCGGAAAAATATTTTATGCCGACATCTAAACACTGACGATTTTTTCTAAATTTTCGCGAGCTTCTGTTGCGCTTGGAAATGTTTTTGAAAAACCAAGCATTTTTGCTGTTCTTTTAATTCCCAAGCAATCAGAAAATTATCAATTTTCGGTTTTTCGGTATTTAAATTGGCTTTTTTCGATACTGCATTTCCAATTTTACTAATTCCATTAGTAATTCCATTTCCTCCAGAACGCCGACATCCGGAATCCGGACATTTTCTGACGCTAGCTTGACCATCTAACAATGTCGAACGCCCATTTTGCATGTCGGGATGTCGGGATTATCGGTGGTTAAGATGTCGGGATTTAGTTTGTCGGGCTTTTTTGTTTGTCGGTATTTTTGCCTGTTGAAGTTTTCGCGCTTTGCCGGTTTAAGGAACTTTCAAGAAGTTGTACATCACTTTTAGTCAAACAAACCGTGATCACAACAAAAGTAATTTTTCAAAGGCCAGCTGTTACAATTTTAATTCATTGATGACACTTTAGCCTTGTCAGTTTCTCAATCGCGCCACGTACGATCTGCAAACCCAGCAGCCAACCCGCACACCGATCCACTAGCCAATTTGCCGAATTCGTGCTCCTTTTACGGCCACCTGATCGCCAGGCAGTACTGTGGTCTGCAGTTTACAGCGAAAAAGTTCAGTTTTTCTGGCCTCTGCAGACCAGCGTAAGAGTGAGTGAGTGAGAGAGAGAGACAGGGAGCGAGATTTCGACGATATATGTTTTGACGTTGTATTGTTTTTCAAAGGTCGCCTCCCACCCCCAGGTTCGGGCTATATAAAGAAAATGCCCGTTTTCAGATCGTATTATCGTACCCTAATTCGAATAGGCCAATATTTTGATCTCTCGTTCTCTCTCTAGCACTTTTTCCGCCTACGCTGGCTATTTTTAAGTCTTACAGTAAGAACTGGATCTTTCGGGATCTAGAAATTGGCTTGGAGCTTCTTGATTGCTCATGTCATTGTTTGCAATATCCGACCACTGGGGCGCTCTCTCGAATTTAATTTTTTACAAAAAGCGCGCAATTCCCGTAGATAAAAAGCGGATTTTCAAAAGGAAAAATTTCAGATATCCTCATTTTTCGAATTCGCTATTAACTGGTGCTTTCCTAATATTTTTTAAAAGTATCGTTTAGTATAGTATCCGCTGTACATTTCTTTCGATTTTGCGATAATTTTAAACGTAGTTTTTATTGTTAGAGGATTTGGCGGCGTGGCAATTTAGCGGACAGCGGACAATGATACAAAGAAATAATTTAAAAATAGCATTTTGAAAGTGCAACGGAATTCTCATGAAAACGCGTAGTGGATTTTTATTAATCGCCAACTTAAGTTGACCTTGAAAAAACTATGCATCCGGTTTTTGAAAGTTCATCTCATTATGCCGGATTTCCTAAAGATTGTCCTTTTTCTTTGTCCTAAAGTGCGCGCTTTCCAAATCCAAAACAAGCTGCCGTATTCTATTCATAGCTCACCATTCGGCTAGAGAAGCTTCTAGAATGCTATCCCCGAAAAAGGCTATACGAAATGGTTACATTTGGTGCCTAGGAACGGGCGGCGTCACTAGGAGTATTTCGGAAAGACCAATTTCCGCCGGTTACACGTGGTCGCACCCTAAAAGGTGCCCCCAGCGAAATAGCGAAAAGGGCCCCCCTTTTGGTCTCCATGTTGTCATGGAAAAATGGCGCCATCCACCCTGGGGGCGTCGAGACCGGAAGACGTCGGCCCAAATGGCCCAGGAAAAGCGCTGGGAGTCCGGGAGAAACCCCGGAATCCACGAATTTTGATGACGGCAATTTTGGTATTTTGGTTCCGGGGTTTGAGAACTAGATTTTTTTTTATTTTAGACGGTGAACTTCCGGCATTCAGGCAGTTTCTGTCTTACGGATGGTTTATTTTTTTCCTTATCTCACGCCTGGTCTATTAAATTTTTTAAAAGACGTGGAGTGTAAAGTAATGTGACCATTTTTATGTTTAAAATGTCATATACAAATTGTAACCTATATCTGTAATTTGAGCTTTTGAATCCCACTTTTCATGGCGTAATCGAATGCTAGGCTTGCTTTTAAATGATCGAATTAGCCTTAAAATTCATTTTAATTCCTGCCCTGGCTTTTTCTAAAATACCGTATCCTTGTATTTGCTTCCGAAAATAGTATCGTATCCACGGAAGTACGTGTAATTTGGAGCGTTTCGTGCGTCTCAATTTTTTCAACCATTCTGGTTCCGCTCCGGCTTGGTTTTGGAATTTCTGATGAGTGGAAATTGAGAAATTTGGACTAGATGTTATGGTCTCTCCCGCTCTTTCCCGCTCTCTCTCTCGCTCTCTCTCTCTCTCTCTCTTTTCCAGCTTGGCATGGTCAGACTTAAAAGCATTTTAACCCACATTTTCAGCGACCTCCCGTCTGCTTCACGCCGGTCCCCTCGACCTACAACCCACTCCTATCGCCGCAAGTCAGCGCGTTTACGGTAGGTGGAAAATATCGGACTTTAAAGGACCCAGAAAGTCAAAATTCATTTTAGACGCAGAGTTCCATTTTTAAGGGGCTGGAAAGCCGAAGTTACCTGAAAACGATAACTTTATACACTTAACTACAGATCATATCATCAATTCGGCTCAGAAATACAACGTATAAACCTTTAAACTTAATTTTTTTTGATTCCAGAAAGTCACCGTACGCCCTGCCATCGCCGTCCTCCCCCCGCCGATCCCCCCGAAAAGCGACTACGTCAAAGAACGGGCGCGACAGTACTCGAACGGCCATAAACCACTTCTCTCACTCCGCTCCCTGCCCGACTGTTCCCAACTAGGAACATCACCCACCGATCAACCATTCGACGGCTACCGTACCCTTGGCAAGAAGCCAATTCCGAAACCGCGGCTCAGTTTGAAGAAAATGGTGCGTTTTTGAAAGAAGTTTCGTGTAGAAATTAATTTTTGAAATAGCTGAATACGCAAAAATTCGATTTTTTTGATGCTGAACTAATTCGTTTCAGGCCCCCCTCACCCTCGACGAGTCCACGATGCACCAAATGCCGCCAGTCCCGCTCCCGAGACGCAAGAACCTCCCAGTCGAGGAGAAGTCGACGTCACCTGACTTCCATTTCAATACCCCGGCTTCCCGGCTTGAAGGAGGCTCCGGAATCACACCCAGCAAGAGGAATATAGGTACGGTTTTATTTAATAAACGTGCACCTACGGTAATACAGAACCTGGAGCGTATAATTGCATACTGTAGCGTATCCTGACGTACGAAGAGTCAATATTTTCAGCCAAATCCACGCCAAACCTTGCGGACGGCCGCCCGGTCACCGGAATCCGGAGGAGAATTCTGGCAGCTCAAGGCCGATCTGTTACTCCTTTGGTCCAGGTTTGTTTTGTACGTACTTTTAGTCTCCTACAGTAACCTACCATACAAAATAATATTTTCTTGAATTCCGATAAAAAAGGTAGATTCTGTCGTAGGAAAACAGAGGTACCAATGGAACCTACTGAACACCATTTTCCAGATCAACCAGGAGCACCAGATGGAGCAGTACGACGAGGAGAAGGACTTCCTGGCCGCTGCTATGCGTGATATCGAGTTTGGAGATGATGACGATCTCGAGAACGAGGGCCCTGAATTATTGATGCGGTTCGGCCGTGGAAATTACGCCACTACCAGCTTCCAGACGCCAATTCAAGTGTCAGTTCTTAGAAGAGTGTGTGAGAGAGAGAGAGAGAAGAGAGAGAGAGAGAGAGAGAGAGAAGTAAGCGTCGACGCATTAATGGCACCCGATTTGTATGGCTAGCTAGTTCCCGCAGCCGTTTAAACTGCTCGAAGTCGTTGGCACAAAATTCTGAGACTATTGATTAGATTTTTGGGGATTTTGGCGAACTGTCGATATCTAGTGGTGGTAAAGCGTCGATTCTGGCAATTCTGAACCCCTTGAAGACTGTCATTTTTAGCTCGGCCCCCTCATCCCTCCAAAACACGCTCTGTGCGACGATGATGTCCCCCTTGATGTCGCCCTCCTCTCCAAATTCGGCCGATAGTTGCTCGAAGTCGACGAAAACCCTATCGACGCCCACGAGCAAAGACTCCGGCCTCACCAACTCGGATAACGAGGATGGTATTATTAGACGGTAGGTTCCGCGTATTTATTTTTATTCTTGCGATCTAGAAAATAGAAAAAAAAATCCATTGTAAGGTCTATTAATGCGTCGAAAAGTTTTTAGCCAAGCCAACTCGAAATCCGACGACGATGGCTTTTTCGATGCATCTGGAGAAAAGAAAACTGATGGAGAGGCCAGTGAGGGTGACAGCATTTTCACTTCCATCACCAATCAGCCGAAAGGGTAAGTGCTTCTCTAGGTTTCTCTCTCTCGCTCTCTCTCTCTCTCTATCTCTTTCTCTCTCGCTCTCTCTCTCACTCTATCTCTCTCTCTTTCGCAATCCAAACCACTATTTTTTAGAGAAGAAGCAGTCGACTCGGAAGAGAATCGTGGCAAGCCAATCTCAGAGCTCGAGCGCAAGGCCCGCGTGATGCGCTGGATCAACGAGGCTGCGATTCAGATCTAATACTCCAAAATCGTACTCCCGGACTTGGAATTCAAGCGTCTTTTAACCCCCATTCCCCCGACAAGAGCAACTTTTGCCCCGTTCCTATTTTTTCAAACAAAACTGACAATATTTCATGGTATTTGTCATATTTTTCTAGCTCAATTCCGCGGCCAAATTTCCCCCAAAAAAATCCCCCGAACATAAAATCGTTACCGGTTAATGTCTTTGAGTACCATTTGGCGCCGCCCCAAAACCACACACAAGCTCCTCGCCACCATTCTAGTCGAGAATTAAGGATTACTGCGTTTTTGTACTTTGTAATTTCTTTTTTGTACTTTCACCTGGTCGTTATATCATTTAAAAGGACTAGGCAGTGGGAAAATCGGCTCCTTGATTTACTGGGTATCGACAACTATGGCTTCCCATAACTTGTCAACGCGACACGTAACACACGCCCTAGACTTCCATCGCGTAATCGATTACGATCGCAAAAACAGCGGTAGTCGGATGCCTTTAAATCCTCAAATACGCCTTGCCGGCTCGTTTAAATTGAATTTTTTTACGCGATTTGGTGTAAAGCGTAGCCGTCGAGACCTAGTTGACTTAGAGGGTCGATTATGGCACTTTCTAGTCCCTGAAAAAGGTCCGAATGAATCCCGTGTGTCTATATTCTAGCCAAATCTTCCTTTTCTATTCCGTGTCTTCCTGTATCTGACGAATTTAAAGGAATCCATGCTTGCATTTCTTTAAATGATGTATTTTCTACCCGATTTTCAATTTTTTTTTGTATTTTGTACCCTTCCCTTTCATTGCCCCCGACGTGCTCAGAGTGTAAATAAAAGGCTTCATCAAAGAGAATACGGTAGTTGAGCAGGGTAAGTGCAAATTTGCATAAAAACGAGGCGGCATGGAAATTTTGAAAAGTTTGAGTTAATCGGCTTTAAAAAGATTTTACGAAAACGAAAAATCCAATAACGGAGAATTTACAAATCAACGCTTTCTGAAAAAGAATTATAGCTTTCCAAAAGCAGCCAAAAAAACTACGAGATGTAAATCAAGATCAGCGCGATGAATGAGAGAACATAGGCGGATGAGGACGCCGAGTCGGGCTTTGCAGTGGGTGAAGGAAATGCTAAAATTGAAAAAATAGACAAGTATGTATAGGGCTTAGGAGTCATACTCTTTCTCGCTAGCTCTCTCTCTCCTCGCTCTCTCTCTCTTTCTCTCTCACTGACTCTCTCACTCTCTCTCTCTCTCTCTCTCTCTCTCTCTCTCTCTCCCACCTCCTTCTCCAATAGCCTTCGTTTCATCGGCGATCATCTTGTCGGTGTTCGCCTTCACCCTCTCGTCTTCCAGTATTTTCTCAATCTGATCGGCCATCTAAATGTCGAATTTTGTTAATTTAATTTCAACTCTAGAATCCATAGTCTACAGATTTCAGCAACAACTTTTAAAACCACGTCAAAGAACCCACCTTCGTCATCTCCTCCTCGCTCATCTCGGCCGGGATCTCGGGTAGTTCAACCTAGAAAATTATTTCTTATTGAAATTTCTGGCCTTTGAATACATAATCTTAGACAAAGCCGAAACCTAAGCCTGAGCCTAAGCCCTAGACTTAGCCTGCCTAAGTCCAGGCCTAGGCCTAAGCCTCCTTCTCTTCGACTTCTTTCCTACCTTCGGGGCAGCTCCGCCTCCAATGCCAGCACCGATAATTTTGTCTTCATCCTCTCGGATGATGTCCTGAAAAAGGTTGTGGTGGTACTTAATGTAGCTGCAATTCACAAAAATATGAGAAACCCACCTCAGCAGCGACGCCCGGCGGATAGACATCACCACTCGTTTTTACTTCAACAATTTTGTCGTCGCCGGCATCAATCACCGTTTTCTGCGCTATCGAGCCGCCCGTATACTTGTCGAGCAGGTGGCGGTATTCTGAAAGTGGATTTTGATGTCGCCATCCCTTTAAAGACAGCATAAAAGCTAAATTAGGTATAGAATTTACAGTAAATGAATTTTTTGTGTCCGCGGCACGCCTTGCCCGGCTCTTTAAACCGTGCCAAACCTGGGAGAATATCGCCCTTCTCGTCAATCGGCAAGTAGGCGACGCCGTCTTCGTCAACCTTGCCGTAGCGAGGATCAGATGGGGCCATTTTTACAACCTGAAAAATAGAGAATAGACGCTCTCACTCTCTCTCTCTCTCTCTCTCTCTCTCTCTATTTCTCTCTCTCTCGCAATTGCTGACCTCCTCAGTCTGCTCGACACCACCACCAAGTGGGGGCAGCTCATCGGCGGCGCTCTCGAAGTGCTTCACTTGGCTTCCGTCTTGATAGTGGCTGGTGTGGCTGTGAACCAGTTGGTCTTTGTCTGAAAAAGAGACGCCGTCTTGGTTTAGGATATAGGCTTAGGCTTACGCCTGTGCCAAAGCTCGGGCTTACGCTTGGGCTTCGAATTGCGCGTAAGGCTTAAGCAGTTTCAGTCGATTTTCAAGGAAGGAGGAAGACAAAAAATTGGCAAAACTTACCTCTCCTCAGCCGGTGTCCACGATGGTGGTGGATGGCTTTGCGTAGGAAGGCTCCTGAAAAAAATGGTGTGGGATAATGACGCAAAAATAGGGATAGAGGGGGGAGAAAGAGAGAAAGAAAGAGCGAGAGAGAGAGAGAGGGAGAGAGAGAGTGAGAGAGAGAGACTAACCCTGTTGGTGATGATTGCACAGATCATCGCTACACAAATGGCACTCCTCCTCTTCGAATTGCGAGTTGTAGGGGCATCTTGTACCACAGCCTCTCCTTGTCACTAAAGAAATATAATTTACGTCTTATTCATTAATTTTAGGTATATTATCTGTGATCGATAACGAATATGGTAGAATAATTAGTTTAATTCGATCAAGATTCATTGAAAATCCAAAAATCTGGGTTAATAAGCCCCCATAAAGGTAATAAGCAAAAAAAATATAGCTTCAAACCTGGTCCAAGCAGACTGTAACACTGCGAATGTTCGTTATGGCAGGTTTTTACTTCGGCGGCTTCGTTGTCGCAGTCGTGGCAGTGGAAGCATTCGATGGCAAAGGTAACTAAATTTGTTAGATACGGGATCGTCGTTTCCAACCTTGTAGCGTCGCCGCAAATACGAGCAGGGCGACTAACCGCATTTGGCAGGCTAAAAAATAGATATACAAAAAAAACGTAGAAATTGCCCTCCATTTCAAAAATTCAACGCTAAATCGGCAAAATGGCACAAAAATCCGGGGGGGGGGGGTCAATATTTTCGAAACCGAGTACAAACTTTAATACAATACAAGAAGTTCATCACTGATCAGCAAAAGGAACGCCGGGCGGGGGGGGGGGGGTGCGAACTTCCGCTTACAAATTGAAGGTACGAGCGGTGGCATCAAACGACAGCAAGGGAAGTATATAAACTTCAGATAATCATCTTGGAGAAGCGGATATGGCATATTTTGTACCGACCTGCGCCTGGGTTTTTTAATAATCATTTAGCATGAAGGGACTGATGGCACCATCGCATTGAATTTGAATTTAGTGGGGACGAGAGAGACAGATAGGAAGAGAAAGAGAGAGAGAGAGAGAGAGAGAGAGAGAGAGAGAGAAAGAGAGAGAGAGAGAGCAAGAGAGAGCGAGAGAGAGCGGGGGAGGGACAGAGATAGAGGGAGAGAGTGAGCGAGAGTGAGGGAGTGTGCGAAAGCGACAGCTATACAGTGCGGCGACGGGGGTGTCGGAGAGAGATAGAAAGAGAACGATTAAAATTCAATAAATCAACTATTGAATTCTGAAGTAAGAAAACAACGAAAGATCGATAGCCGACCAGCAAACTAACAAGCCGCTGAGCCACCGATTTTCTGGCGCCTCAAAACTTTATCAATATTTTTCGGGGGTGGCGCCGTATAGGCGCCGGGATGAACATGGCATTTTGGCTCAGGTAATGGACAAAGATAAGGCCCCGGGGGTGGGCTGGAGAAGAAAAGGCTATAACCGGAGTGCTGCGTAGTCGATGTAGTGTGTTTTGGGCGTTAATAAGGAATCTTTAGATTCCGGAGATTTCTGCAATGGTCTGGGCCTTAAATCTTAAAAAAATAATATATAACTACTCAAATATAATATAATATCAATACTGAAAATTTTGATTTGGATCGAGTCTTATCGTGGTTTCCCGGTTGGGAAAACACTTGCTAGCCTACCCTTTCTCATTGCAAGCAAAAAAAAAGCGCTAATTGGCCTTTGCGGAGCCCAAATGGCCTTTGCTAGCTTGCCCTTTCAGATTTCCCAGCACTGGGGCATTTTCTTAACCTGGAAAACGATTTCTTCAATTTTTTTTGACGATAAGCAAAACCGGAAATCAGCGCAATATGATAAAAAGCTCATAAATTACTGATTTCGAATTTACAAAAAAGTTCAAAGAAATTCCTGGAGTGTAAAGCGAGAGCGATTTTGACAGCTAGACGCTTCCGATTCTTACACCGCGAACCATAGCATTAGAGGGAACGGTTTCTAGGAAATCGATCGTCCAAAATGAAAAGCAAAACTCTGTGGAATGTGGTAGATACCGGCCAAAAGAAAGAGGATAAAGAATCGAAAATCGAAAATATACAGAATATGGTTGAAAAGCCAGTTACTAACTAGGTACTTCCCAGTCAATTTGTCTAAAAAACGCAAAACCCAATGTAAATTGTCCGGAAAAATTGACGAAGGATGTTCTCGCTGAAAAGGGCTGAACAATGGGCACTTCGGGATTGGTCGGCCCCCCGGGGGGTCATTTTCAACACAACCGCATCCTCGGAGAAAGCTGGAGGAAGAAACTGGTCAACATGAAAGTGCGTGTCGGTGCAAAGGGAAGGGCGATAATTGCTAGTCCTGTTTCTCCTTGAAAAGCTGGTCGCAAAAAAATTGGAATAGAAAGGTTCCTGGAAGTTATTTGCATAAAGGTTCGCTCTATCTCTCTCTCTCATCTCTTTCTCTGTCTCTTTCTCTCTCTCTATCCCTCTCTCTCTCTCTCTCTCTCTCTCTCTCTCTCTCTCTCTGTGGTTTTCTGTCTCTCTCTTCTCTGCCGTTTTAAGGTACCTGAGTATTTATTGACTATCGATTCAAAAATATAGCTTTCACAATTGAGAAAGAACATCATTCAAATCCTCCTCCACTTTGGCGTCTTCTTCATCGTCCTCCTTCTCAGCCTCCTCTTTTTCTTTGTCGGCCTCCTCACCCAGCTTCTGGTTCTCCGCATCCGGAACGTCGTCTTCGGGACGGTCTTCCGCCTAAAAATGGATAGTAGAAGTGAGAGTGATAGAGAGAGAGAGAGAGAGAGAGAGAGAGAGAAGGAGAGCGAGAGAGAGAAGCAGAACGCATACCTTGTCTTCAGTAATCTCAGCAGACCAGAGGTACCTAGTCTCCATATTGCATAAATCGACGCCGGCTTGGATCTAATCGAAAAACGTAATTTAATTTTGGTTTAAGCTACAAGCTATAGCCGCTATGCTTACCCTCACATATCCATCCTCACCCCAGAAGTCTCCCCAAGAATTCTTGACGATCCAGTAGGGCACGGTTTCGTTGGTTTCCGGATTGAGCTCCTCACCTAGATTGAAAGTCTGGTTGAAGCGAGAGAGAGACAGCGAGGGAGAGAGAGAGAGAGAGAGCGGATAGAAAGCTCACCCCATCCAACGATTGCCATAGCGTGTCCACCGAGTTTTGGCTTATCCTCGGTACACTGTTCAGTATAAATTCCACCGGCGTATAGCGGGAAATCCTCAGTTAGCCACATACCTTAAAATATCAAATTTAAAGGTAATTTTATATTAAATAGTGTTAAATAATGCTCTCAAACAAAAACTGTTCGGACGCACCAAAAGCTATCGGCCCGGTGTTCATGATTTCCTGTCTCAGCTCGTTCATGTCGAACGGCATCAGCGAGTAGAACTCAGAGACTTTGACTTGGGGCTTCACCTTAAAAAATAGCATATGGCCTTCACAAAGCCCGAAAATTACAAACTACGCCCAGAGCTAGGCCTTTGAGGCAAAGAAAAAGTCTCCTACTTATTATAACTACGACCTTACTTATGACGTCAAAAACTGGGGCAAAACCTTGATTTTCAAATTTCACTAACAACTTTCGCAATTTCTCGTTTCAATCCAAGAATTCCCGGTTAGAAATTTAGTACATTGCGCACCTCAATACACTTCTCGTCGGTCGTATTATACGGGTGATCAGCTTCATAGCCCACTCCATGCATTTTCGCGTATCCCAGGCTGCCCTCCGGCCATCCGGACCCGCAAACCGAGCGCTGGTAGACGCAGTTGTATTGCTGAATTTGATTTTCAGCTTTTTGCTACTTAGATTAAAAACGTTAGTATATTATAGCGCCAGTTTTGTAGTAAATCAACAATTTTGAAATGAAATACATACCTGCTCTGATAGATCCAGCTTATCACCTCCATTTTTAATGGCGTAAACGGTTTCCAGGACGGCGTTGGTACTGTAATGGACTGATACAACAGATTTATGATGATGAATAAAACTAGATTATGTATTTGTATACAGGGTGTCCCAAAAAAAAACCCCCTCCTCGGCATTTGGCCGTCTTCTATCCCATCGGGAACAAATTTTTACCAGTGAAGGGGACCCATAAAAACTATGTGCAGCCGAATTTTCTAAGCAAAATACTGTAAAACAAAAAAGTTATCGCTAAAAAACTGATTTTTGGGAAACGCCAGTACCGATTTTTCGCTATGTTTTCGCAATTAGCATGCCGATTTTGAGTAATTTTCCCAAAAATCGTCATTTTCGGGTCCGTTTCTGTTCGTTTTGATAATAAAAATTGATGAAAAGTCCCGTTTTTGACGTAATTTTCGTAAATCAAAAAATTCCTCCGGGTGGAAAAAAGTGCCCTCTTCATTTTTCCTAAACATTTCGAGGCCCTAATCCATCAAAATCCTAGTGAAATCGGCAAAATAAACCTTAATTTCAATATAACTTTTTTGTTTTATAGTATTTTGCTTAGAAAATTCGGCTGCACATAGTTTTTATGGGTCCCCATCACTGGTAAAAATTTGGCCCCGATCCGATAGAAGACGGCCAAATGCCGAGGGGGGGTTTTTTTTTTGGGACACCCTGTATGTATAATATGTTTAAAAAATCGTAGATTCTATGATGGAGATTGCGAAGTGCTTTCGTTACCAACTACAATTTTTTGAGTCCCTTTAGCTTTTTCGCTTACCTAAACGTCCAGCATGAGGAGCACGTCTCTTGGATTTTCACGTCGGTCGTCTAGATTTTTCCAAATTTTGGTTTTCGATAAACCCATACCATTCCCTTCTCGACCCAGCTGAAGTTTGTCGGCATTTCCGAGGCTGATACTTGCTAAAATTATGTGATAGGTATACCTTTCGTTCAGGACGAGTTATAAAAATGTAAGCCTATTAGCTACAGTTATTTTGATGTAAACCCTCGAGCTTTCCAAAATTTAGAAGGTTATACCCTATTAAACCGCCGGCCATGTCCGCCACGGCCGCCATGAAAACCGTGTCGCCGCGCGTTTTTCGGTTTCCACAAATTCGAGTGTTCCGGTTGATGGTTGACCGGCTCCAGCATCTGAACAGTACCGTAATAAAAGTACAGACAGCCGAACTAGGTATCAAAAAGTATGGAAAAAAAACAGAGAAAAAACATATTTTCTCCTAGCTCCGAATCGCTTTTTTGCGCTTTAGCTTGTTATGCGGTCTATTTTTCAATTAATGTGGCGCGAAAATAAGTTATTCGGAAAAACCCAGCTTTCTTAATTGCGAAAAGGCAAAAGCCCACGCTCTTGAACTCGTCATCATCCAAATGCATGTAGGGGTGCTCGCCCAGCTTGAAGAGCGGGCGGTGGCGACCGTGACGCTTCAGGAATTCCTGCCGTTTCCGTCGCAAACGCTCATTATTACGCCGAAAGTGCTGTGCGTGACGTTCCAGCTTCTTTTCGTCGAAGTTTTTGCGGAATCTAAATTTTTTAAGTAAAACCAGGGTTGAAAAGCCGCTTCGCGACTTTTCAACCCTGGCCCCGTCTCGGACCCAATTTTATCCTTCACTTTGCATAATTGTGCTAAATTCCGAAGTCAAAATATGAAAAACAACCACTTCTGTGCCTTTATATAGTTGAATCCCAATTTCCGGCCTATGTTAATTATGCCTAACAAAGAAGTTTTAACAAAAACTAAAATTTAATGTCGAAAATAGGTGATTTTGATAAATTTGATCTGCGTGCAGTCATCTCAAGACCATTGCGCACCTAATGACGTATCATACATACTTTAAAATTGCTCCCCTATCGAGATATCCTCCGGACAGACACCCGGAAGTGGATGCAAAGTGGCACACACACACAAACACACAGACACTATTTTTTTATATATAGTAGGATTGGGCTAAGCTGGTTTCAAGTCTGTCTGTTTGTTTTTTAGGTTTTTGTCAGAAATCCAGTCGTTTAATTCGTTTACGTCGTTTAATGCGCTCTATAGACGGAAAAAGCCATAATACTGAAGTGCAAATTCCGGGAGCGAGAATACCGATACCCAAAAACACCAGATTCATAATACCGACATGGAAAATAACTGCTTCAAGTTTTTGGCTTGTCGGTATTCTGGCTGTCGGTATTATAGCTGTCGGTATCATGACTGTCGGGATTTCTGCTCTTCGATTCTCTAATAACTCCAGATAACGCACCTCATTCCAAATCGCGAAAAATCTTTGGCGTGCTCGCCGAGCTGATCCTGGATATGGCGGGGGACTTTCCGGAAATCGTGGAAACGACCGGGACGATGATCTGGGCCTCTCTGGAAGCATTAACCGGCTGTCTCATTCCATTAAAGATACCTACCCGTCTAGCTCCCCTTTCATGAAGTCTAGCCCCGATTCCACGACCCCCAGGACGATGCAAGTGAGCTCGTCTTCTGGCGATTAACTGCGACCTCAGACTGTGTATTCTTCGACGAGCATTTGCTAGCCCTCGACCGGGATGACGTCCTCGAGGACCTAAAAAACCGATAGAGACAAATTCAAATTAGAATTAGAATAAACTAAAACTCGCTCCGGCAAGATATGCAAGATACCAGATACGAACTTCAACGATTTATTATCCTAGCGATAGCCATTTATAAAATACCGTACCTCAAGCTACTATCCACAGCAGTGTGAAACTTTCTACAGTACAGGGACGCGACCACTGGGCTACAAACTACAAGGACAGGCCGTTATAACACTACAAGCTAGTTAGTCTGCAACGCTGCAAGGCTACAAACTGCAACACCGTGGCTAGAAGGCCTACCTCCTCTTCTCGGTCCTCCTCTCGCCTCCAAGAGCACGACCAGCACGACCAGGAAGAGCGCCAGATGGATAAGGCGCATCACCTGAAATACCTCTGGATTAAAGGGACTAGGAAGTCCAGAGTCCACTGCTTCCGTTGACTAGGTCTCGACAGCTACGCAACTCGCCAAAATCGGAGCTCAACTAAAATCGCAATTTCGAAAACTCTCCAAAATTTTACAAACAATTATAAAATCTGACTACATAGTGAGTGTAAGTGTAAATTGAAGCGTCGCGTAGCTGTCGACACCTATTCAGGGGAGGGGGTCGATTTTCAAGCTTCTTAGCTTCTTTAATCGGGTCGTAAATGAAAAACAAATGAAAAATTAGATCCAGTTAATGTGGTGTCCAATCCCAATATCAAAAGGACCAAAAACCCAGCAAAAAATGGCAGGCGTGGGTGTGAGTGATTTTTCAGGGTTATCTTTATCCCTTTCCGCCCAATAATCCAATTGATATTCGCCGGATAGAGCGGCTTGTTCGCCGCGTAGCTCTCTGGAACTTTTCAAGGACGCCGCCGCGGCCAATGGGGACCGGTGAAAAGCGGCACCAAAATTTATGGGTCCGAAACGTTAGCCTAGTCCTGGCCTGACGCAGTATCGAATGTAGGTGCGTATCGAAATTTGCTCTGAAAAGGTCGATTTTGTCCATTTTTCGAGCGCGGTTCGCAGCATTGAGATTGAAAGAGCGAGAGAGAGAGAGAGAGAGAGAGAGAGAGAGAGAGAGAGAGAGAGTGAGAGTGAGAGAGAGGGGGACGTCAACCGCAAAAATTCAAATTGAGCCCAAACCCTTCGATAAACAATTAACATACCAACTAACATACCGGGGCATCTGATTAGCATGAACAATTCCGAAAGCACGCGATTTCTCGTCATTGCACCACTATCTTTTCGTATCATTCCGTGCCCCCGATGGGTCATCGTCCCCGCCCCGCGGCATCATCCGATGCCTACACTCGGCCGCTCTTCTGGCTTCTGCTCCTCTGCGCCATCCCCATCGTCGTCAGTCAAGCCGATAACCAGTAAGACACTTTGGAACTAACTGTGGGCTTCCCATTTGCTCGAGGCTTACAAAAAACGAGACAGCGCAGTTATTAGGCGGATTATTCCCGGTACGCGGCGTTTTAAAAGGGCCCGAACATGGCCTCACACGGTTTTTCGACCTTGTCGTTTGGTGCCATTTTAAAGCGAGGCATTGGTTTAGTAGAGTGACATAAATTTGGAGGTTCAAAAATTTGGCTATGGTTTACGTTATCCCCCCCCCCCCCTGAGCTGGAAGGCCTTTACTATAAGCTATTTATTTTACATTGTTTTAGGCTCAAAAGAAAATTACTTTGTTTTTCGGCGCTCGCTGAAATGGCGTTGATAAACCCCCAAAAAAGACCGCGAGAATATCAAAAATTTTGAGACCTCCCGGCTATGGGGTGCGAGCGGGGTGGGGTAAAGTACCCTAAAACTCTTGGTCTTACCCTAAACCTAATTTTTCGAGAATCAACAGGGCTGCAACAACAATCTAAGCTGCTAACCGCGTAAAGCTTTCACATGCTTTAATGAAATATACCATTCGAATCAGAAAAAAGGACGGCATCATGGCCAATCACCTCCCGGAGGCCGAAAACCGCACTTAAAAACGTCATAAATTTTGAATCAGAACTATTCTGCAGATTTGGAGATAGTATTCGGAATCAGCGAAAAATTCTGCACAAGATAGGCTTGGTCCCGTCCCGAATTTCCATCCTGACCAAAAACACTTTACTGTGAGGCCCGAACTCCATAACCCTTACAGAACCAGCAACGTCTCCGAGGTGCCATCTCAAGATCCCCCAAGCAGCACGGCCAGTCCTCCAATCGTCCCGGTGAGGTTATCATAGCATATGGTAAAATGAGGAAATTTAGTGTGGAGGTTCGCGTCCGTTCCTATGCTACGCCTACCAGGGCCTCGACCAACCCTTCCCCGAGTGGCTTCAACAGACCGAACAGAAGGTTTTGAAACAATATTAATATTGAAGACCAACCTGTACTTAGTGCCAACGTTGCGTGGCTTCCAAAAATTGTGGACCAAACTCCCAGATCGGCGGCCAGGAGGACGGCAACCGACTGACTGTGTTATCAAGCTGCACACCACCATTTTGCGTAGGCAACTCGGCTGATGCCCATCAATGCCAGTTTCAGAAAGCCGAAGGGAATACGTCTGAGGCAAAAGTTTGCGTCAAGGCCGTTAATTTCGATGGGAAACAGCCAGGTAATTTGGCGAAAATCTTGCATCCGCTTTTGTCCCAACAGTTCCTACCGATGTTTTACAAGTCGGGTCATTTTCGGGTTAAAAAGGCCTTCAAACTGCCGAAGCAGGGTAAAATGCAGTTTACCCTCCCCCACTTTTGCCATGTTGACCTACAGGTGTGTAAAGTATACAAAAATGTTCGTCTTGCTCCTGCGAGTATTTTGGTGTACTTTACCGGCCCCTACGACAACGGGTGTCGAGATACAGTAGGCGGGGGTCGACTGGGGGGGGGGGTAACTGAACTACAGCTCGAAGGATTTTTCAAAAACGAAGAATTTTAGTTCTAAAATCTTACCATTTTCTGACATGTTTTCAGGAAAAGTCTTTTTTCCCTTCAACCTGTGCAGTCGTGAAATGGTGGCATTCGGCGATTGCAACGACAAGACACTGTAGACGCTTTCACCTAAATGAAAAGTCTCCGCGATTATTATAGGAGCAAGATAAGGTTCGCACCAACCACCGGTCCACTGACGTTTGACTACATGGTGCAATGCGATGCTGGTTTCATAATCCCGAGGTAGGTTACGCTGTTTATCGAACGACCACTATTTTATGTAGCTTGGTCGTCAACGCAGGCAAGGATAAGGGAGCGAGCACGGCCCGGCCAGCCATGACCTGCGTGCCGAGCCTTCAACAAGCCGCCGGCTACTTGAAAGATGATCCGTCACCCCTCCACCACTATCCATACGACGTGGCCGATCTCAAAGACTTTATCGTGAGTTGTGTTAAACGAATCAAAAACCTCGTTTTATTTTAGTATTGCGAAAAAGGAGGGCGCCCAAATAAGACAAGCTTGTGTGAACCGTTACCACTCTGCATCGACGGCAACAAGACACTGTGGGCAATTGGTTAGGCCATGTTATTTGGTTGTAGCCCCACTTCTCCATTCACATCGGATGAAGTGAATCTGGCATCGGAATGTGAATTGCCATGCAAGTATCAATATGGTCGAAAGGAGTACAACGACTGTGTTTTTCTCGACATTGTCAATGCTACGGCAAGGAAGTTCTACTCGGCCAGGCGTGCCATGGTATTTTCACACTTTAAACATTTATCTCTCGTTTTAGTCGGGTCCTTATGCTGAATTGATGGATGAAGAAGAAAATGTGAAAGTGCACATTGTACCCAGTACCGGCCAACCACCGGCTGAAACGAGGCACTCTCGCCAGACGGACAGCGGAGAAAAGATTCGATATCCCAGATGCATCAATTCGACTAAATTATCAGCAAGTTTTGGGTTGCTTCTGTAGCTTTGTTTTTCTACGACAAAACTTTGATTTCAGCGAAGTGATCGCAAACGGGTGGACGATGATTTGATGCTAAACTGCGCGACCAACATCTTCGTGCAGACTTTTGGTGATGAGGGACTGATCATTCAACCGCCACTCTGTGATGGGGACGATGATAATGTGGGGAATCGGGGCTTCGCTTATACTTCCGAAAATCTGATTCCCGAAAATCCGTTTCCCGAAAATCCGATTCCCGAAAATAGAATTCCCGAAAAATCCGAATCCCGAAAAATCTGAATCCCGAAAATCTGAATCCCGAAAATCCGGTTCCCGAAAAATCTGAATCCCGAAAAATTCGTTTCCCGAAAATCTGTTTCCCGAAAAATCTGAATCTGAAGAATCTGCGGTTTGTGAACTGAAAAAAAAAAACCCTGGTACAATTCAACGAGGCGGGGGGCAATCTGCGTCTCAGCGCCCGCCCTGCTCTCTAGGCACCCCTCTGCCTATAGGCCCACCTCCCCCCCCGCCGAAATCCTCACCCCCCGCCTATTAATTGTACCAGAACCCATTCTAAAGTTCCTGGGCGACTTCCAAGACGGTGAATTCAATATAGTTAATTTTTAACTTCGTTTTCTTCCAATTTGGCTTTTCAGAGCGCGGTCTTTCCAGGTTTGGATTCTGGGGCTCGGATTTTTCGGGATTCAGGTTTTCGGGAATCGGATTTTCGAGAATCGGATTTTCGGAAAACGGATTTTTCGGGATTCAGATTTTTCGGGAATCGGATTTTCGGGAATCAGATTTTCGGGATTCAGATTTTTCGGGATTCAGATTTTCGGGAATCAGATTTTCGGGAAACAGATTTTCGGGATTCTCATCGGAAATCGGGGAATCGGCTTCGGCAACAGATTCCTTTCTGTATCGACTGTATGAGACAACTTTTACCTTTTCAGCGTATCTGCTGGAATCGCACTGAACCTGTGACACGCAACGACAACTCGTTGAAGCCGTCGGATGAATGGCTCCCATATTGGCAATACTGTAAGTTTTTAATGGTTATGAAAATAACTGTTACTTCTGCGGTGCATAGCCAAACAAAAAAAAAACTCGCGCAAGGCGGCGTTTTACCTGAAACTGGATAGTGTCGATGGGAATCCAGTGTAGCGCCATGTAAAACGCTTAAACCGCTCATTTTGCTACACAAATTTGGTCATGATAGCACAGAATCTTGCTGTTCGAGTCATACAAACAGAAGGTTAGCCCGACCAGATTCGAAGAATATACAATAAATACGCTCCTCGTTTTGATAATTCGGAACATGTCTTGTACGGCCTTTTTGAATGGCTTTTTTTTGGGTGACCACTGATAGATTTTTTTTTCAGGGGCGCCTTCTGTGTTGTCGGTCATCGTTTGTGGCTGCGGTGTCTACTGGTGGTTGGTCATTGCCAGCCCATGGAAAGCCGGATTTGGCGGCAACTTCATGAAGATATACCAAATTCTTTGTCCCTTTTTGGAAGGCCCCGAATAGTAGCAAAGGAATTCGATCTGACAAGGCCAAATCAGAATTTTTTTCGTAATCGTGTGCTTCCAAATTGATGGAAAAAATGACCCCGAGTAAAGCGTCTTGTTTTTGAAATTTGCGAGAAGTCAGATTCAAAAAGTTATGAAGATTTAGGTGCGAAAATGACTCAGAATGGACCAATTACGGTCATTTTTGGTTTTCCCCCTGAAATATTCGACAACCTTTTGATTTTGAATCTGATTGTTTCGCAGCTTTTCAAACGGTTTCGGAATCAGCGCAAAATTCTGTACAAGATGTATTTGGTCCGGTACGGAAACTCGATTGTGACTAAGTGTCTCCTCGTTAGCAAAACACCAACCGATAGCCTTCGGGCAGTAAATATCGATCCGTTGAGATCATCAAAATTGGACACCGGATGGCCGAGATAAAACCCCTTGAAATGGGCCGATTTTTTAACTTTTTAGGAAATCCAATACATTTGACAAACCGGAGCTAGAACTGACCGTTTGCATTTTGAAACGATTTTGACCACATATAAGGGATTTTTGAGAAAAGTTTTAAGAAACTGGCGAAGTATCAAGAGGCGTATCTCGACCATTTGATGTCCAATTTTGATGATCTCAATATCTATCGATAACTACTCCTCGAAAGCTGTCGATTGGTGTTAATGGTGGCGCATGCAAATCACTCTATGCAAAGATCACTCGCTAAACCTCTGAAAACCTTAGGACGTGCCGACCTTTCAGGGTTCGCTCCGGCAGAACGGTAGCCCTACCGCTGCCAGCAGACTACAAGGCGGCCTCCGTTACGCTCGAAACTGAAAACATTACCGGAAGCTGGCTGGAGCCTTTCGATCAACGGGTATATTCTCATATTGCACTGGGTCAGCTATTGCTGGTCACTCATATTGCGAAAAGGATAACGAGCGGTGACCAAAGGCTGCTTTAGATTACCTCGAAGCCAGAGCGGCGCAAACGCGGCAGGACAATCCGGTTTGCTGATGAGGGGCACGTCGCACTTTACGTGGATCCGGAGGCTGTGGTAAGTATGCTGCACGCCGCGAAATGAACAAAAACAGAGACAGAGAATGAATCATATTGCATGAACTTTAGCTGCGACGGTTCTTTAGGATTCGCGTGGCGACTATATGTATTTCAAGAAAATACAAAAACTCTCAAAAAAAGTTAGTAAAAGGTTGGAAAAAGTCAAGTTTAGTCATTTTGGGTCGAACAAAAACAACTTTTCGAGCTAAAATTGAAATTTTTAGTTAAAGTCCGTATAGTTTCTATGATAAGAAATAGCTAAAAAATTTAGAAACCAATCAGCTATTTTAATATCGAGGCACATTTAGCCGAAAGCGCCCGTCAAGCCATCGGCGACTCCTCCGACGGCTTCTACCGCACAGCAGGTTGGTTGTTGGTGTCGCAAGCTTTTCCCCTTGGATCCCCCAAAGCGGATGCAGGTGGAAACCTTTCTTGGTTTCTACTAATATTTTGCCTGTTTCCACGTACGACCAACGAAAAACGGATTTTTAGTGGCAGTAAAAATCTGGAAAAAACAATAAAAAAATGTTCAAATAGTGAGAATTCGGGGTTCGTCTAGATAGTCTAGAGATTTTAAATCATTGATTGCAGGGCGCGGCGGATCAGATTGTTCCTCCGGTCACTTGCGCGGATCCTGCAGATCCATCGGCCGTGGCAAAGAACATCCTACAAATTTTTGCCGCTGATACATGGATGCAAAAGCAAGAGTCCGACGTAAGTGTTCCTTTTGCAGATAATGCAGAGAAACCCTTTTGCGTAATTTGTCAAAAAACTCTTGGATCTGTATCTCGTCCTGTTCGCTTTCCAGGTCCTGGACCCACGTCCCAAAACGGCCCAGGCAGAGTGCTATAAAATAACATATCGCATGTCCATAATGGAACTTTCTGCGATTATAGCCAGTTTTTCATAATCTCTGCGAAAAGCTTACCTTCCACCCTGATAGTCGTTGAGAATTAGTTGCAAAACGGGTGGGACCGGGCGGTAAAATTTGGGCCCTCATGGAAGAAACAATCATTCCTGGTCAGGTTAAACGTAAGGAGCCGTTGGTCAAGTTCGACTCGGCTGAACTACTGGTTTTGTTCAACCGCGCGACGGAGATCGTGGGAGAGCACCGTGGCGTCGTCCGAATTCAGGGACCTGTTTGGTTCGTCGGGGATCTGAGGAATAATGTGAGTACCCTCTTACAAGGAACCATTTTTAGGTGAGATCAAGGTTCCAAAAGGCGCGTCGCGGCTTTCAGACCTGACACCGACAATAATGCTCTGCACTTTGCATAATTTTAACGGAAATCCGAGGACAAAAAATGAGAAGCACCCCCCCCCCCTTCACACCTTTATGTAGTTTATCCTAATAAACAAACCCGCGCTCTGTAGCCACGCAGAAGTATCGGATTGGAATGATAGTTACACCATGCGACAGTCCGACGAGCTTGCAAATTCTTCAAACCCAGAATTTTATGAAAGGTGCTCAATTAATTTACAATCGTTTTGCAACCTAATATCACACAACGACCCCTTGTCATTTATTTTAGCTTCGTACAATTGAATATTTTAGCTGGAGGACACCTGGCGCATCTTCAAGGCATACTCGGAAAAGGCCGATCCGGCGACTAAGTAGGTCGCCACATGCACCTGATGAACCCCGGGCTATTAAAAAAAAAATTCCACTCGCTTCGATTAAAGGGCCTAAACCCGGTTTCCCTAAGTTTTGGCCATCTTCGCGGCTCAATTTATGACCAAAAACGTAGCCCTTTTTGGACGCTTTCAGCATTTTTTAGTACATTTTTAGCGATTTTTTTTTGTTGTTGTTAAATCGAGGCCTTGTAATTTGCCTCGACAACGGGGTTCTCACAAAAAGTTTCTAGGATTCTAGGACAAAGTGTTTAAAATCAATAAAGCACCTCCCTTTAGAATGCTCTTCCTGGGCAACGTTCGCGACGCGGCATTCAAAGGGCTTACGTCTCTCAGTATCATCGTCGCCTCAATCGTTCTCTACCCAAAATCGGTATATCGATTTCTTGGATTTTTAGATACAACGTGTCGGAAAAACCGCAACGCAGCGCTCCGCAACGTTGCGGGAACTTTCAAAACTTCCGAACGACAACTTTCTAGTAGCTCCAGGAATGTTTAGTAACGTAATAGCACGTAATCGTGTTTTTAGCAAAATTTCGTCGACAAAATCGATGTTATGTGTTTCTGATAGCATTTCGTAAATCGTTAAAATTCATATTAGAAATGTCGATCCGTAGCAAAAATTGGTTCCCTTCCTCGACCTGCACTTGGCATAGGCCAGAAGCTGCGATAATGAAACCTGTTGCAGGTTTTCTACCTCTGTGGCCAATTCGAAGCTTCGGACGTACAGTGCTCATCGGTATGAGTTTATTTATCAGTTGTCAGCGACATAAAAAGAAACGGTCTCCGCTTCATAAATTCTATTATTTTTTTTTTGATCAAATACACGGCTGGGACGGAGCATGCGGCGCTGGATACTTCTATCGCAACGTTCTTTGCGAACCTTCCGCTGTTCGCCATCATCGATGATCGAATTCTCTCGATGCACGGCGGCCTGGGTCGGTTGCGTTTGGTTCTGTCTAGCATCATTTCATATCTTCAAACTAGGGCCCTATTCTGAGGACCGGTTCACATTGCGCGTTATAGTAGTCTGATCAAAATGACGATTTTTCGACCTGCAACCCCTGTATTTTGCGTGCCATCTTTCGCGAACTTGCCGTAGGAAGGAAGCGAAAATCGACTTCGAACTTTGCGAGCTCACCCGTTCAATTATGCCTAACTTTGCCTAGCAGCGAGTCCCAGCAACGCTTTTGCGTAATAGGTTCTATCGGATAGGTGAAATCGGCGAAAAAAATTTTATTATGCTAGTAAACGTAGTTTACGTTGTATAATCGGTATATGAAACTGCTGAGTTTTTGCAGGTCCCGAGCTCAAGCCTGAAGATATCCGCAAAGGCTTCGAACCCACTAGCACCAGGGCCACAGAGCTTCGCCTTGACACGCTCCAGAGCGACCCGAATTGCTTGGTGAAGGAGTAGGGGTCCTGTCGTATTTCCAACCCTACGTTTATCCAGCTGTGCACCCAAAAATGACAAGACCAAGGGCTACTTCTACGGCCTGACAGCCATCGACGATGCTCGCCGCAAATTCCGCATCGACTACATCATTCGTGCTCGCCAGGTGAATTTTCTTCTGTGCTGACGTCAAAACAGGCCGCGGGTCAGGCCATAGCCATCGGGAAAAAACAGCGAAAATATCGAACAGTCTGGAACAACCGCCTCCCCCCGCGGGATCGAACCAGAACCCAAGCCTGGTTCTGGGCATAGCTACGGCAGTTTTTGAGATACAACTAGAATAAACTCCGATAATAAACTGTATTCATAAGGTTTTTATCGGAATCGACCTTTAAAATTCGTTTCATTTGATAACAGCGAGGATTATCGTGATTTTCACAAAAACATTAATCGAGTATCGAAAGGAGCTAATTTTTTAACGATCCTTTGCAAGAAATTCGTTAACGGTGATTAGCGTTTTTATAAATTTTTGCAAAAAGTCCGGAATTTTTGCTTTAAAAAAATTGCATCCACGGCCGCTAACTGGACAGCACCCCAATTTTTCCATTACAGGCGACCAATCTTGGGCTGCGCTTCTTCGGCCGCTGGCTGATTTCTTTGTTCTCTACTCAGGTGGGCTTTTGCAGAAAAGATTGTGAACTTCGAAGCTGTCGTAATCAGCGCATTCAGCAAACCACGGACCAGCTGACAGCCGTGCTGCAGTACGGTGCCAATTCCACGTTCACTGCGTTGTATTTGACTAAACTCGGCGAACGTTATGAAAGTAAGTCGTAAGTTGGGCGGGGCGTGGCGGCCCCGGATTTGGGTGGGACCTCCACATCGGCGTTTTTGTATTTTACTAAGCTTGTAATCTTGACAACGTCTTTCCAAAATCGCGAAGCGCAGCTCCGCATGCCCAAACATTGATTAATCGGCCAAGCAAGCAGCACCGTACGATTAAAAGGATCAGGGCTCATCGGCAATTGGCAGAGTCAGTCAGGGCGGGTGAGAGGGTACGCACAACTGAAAGGGAACAGAAAATTATTCCGCCGAATTTCCCAAGTCAGCAATTTGCATAGGTCATCCTGATCCCGTTAAATCTTTGAGAAAACAGGCCTCAAAGCTCTAAAAACAACCTTAAAATGCTCTATTAAAAAGACTTGAAACTATTGAACTAACAGGCTAGTGGGGCTTGGCGCAAGATAGGCCCTCTTCACCATTTTATAAAATTGGGAGTTGGCTGTTTCTTTAAGCAAGCTAACCTACTGCTTTCAGCCCAGGGCGTGTTCGAGCAAAAGTTCGATTACCAGGCCTCCACTGATAGGGTCTTTGTGGACATGGATGCGGTGGGTATTTCCGTTCTAGTTCACTAAGGTAGGGGCGGGAGCTTATCGAGAGGGGGACTAACTTCCTTTATTCCGCCTAGCGCCAGTCGAAAAACGTCGACTTTTATCAAGTCTTTAGCAGTTTCCCGAAAGGAAATGAGAAATTGACCTGGTTGGGTATTTACCAACCCGTCTTTGACCAAAAAGAAGTTGGTTTTTTCCAAAAAATTTTCAATATATTGTTATAATCGAAAAGCCTCTTTGCAATCCGGCTATCAATGTAACAGGATAACAAATTCGACATAGTGGAATTATGCCGGATGATCTGTATTCTGTCTTACGAAAAAACGAGCCTCCACCAGCTAACATGAAATCAACCTTTTGGTCTGCTTGCTTTACCGATAATTTCATTTGATTGACAGGTTGCCCTCTCCGCTAGCCCTTCCACGGACTTGAAGACCGGGGAAAATGTGGGTTTTGCTTTGCTTCTAACCTAGCCCTAATCGTGGCAGAACCTCAAAACACAGCAACCGGACCATATTTAGGCGCCCGACCCCAAGACGCCGAAAGATGCCTGATCCACTGACCGACTCCTGACTGATACCTAATCGACGCGACCCACTCCAAGGACGGCAAAGAACAATCCCAACAAACAAACGCACTACCCAAAGATGATAAAATTTTGATATGTACTTTGCCCGACACCTATCTTGCGAACCAACCATGCCTATCGATGCGAACATTTCTTGGGGATCAGCCGATGAGACTAACAAGAAGACCTGTTTTAGTGTGAATTGCGTCGTGAGTCGGCACCTTCCTGCTTTGTGTAAAATTTTGCGCTGGTTCCGAAAAAATCGGATCGTTGAAAGTGCTAAATGCTCGTTTCGAACAAGTCTTGTCAAAAAATTGAAACGTGCTAAAATGAGTAAGCGAACAGGCTTTTTAGCGCGAACGCACACCATAGTGTAGTTTGCGTAGACATAAAAACTTCAGAAAAATTTTTTGAGGCGAAATCAATTCCAATCCCGGTCCCGAATTCGACTCGAAGGGGGGGGAGGAGTTGGAGCTTGGGTCTCTTTGGATTCCGATAGAGCGCGGTCAGAAACCCCAAAACCCATGAAAAAAATTATGAAAAAGTTTTCGCTTCAATTATTAAATTTAACTTTGAAAATGACGCCTTAGTAAAACGAATGGAGCGACTAATTACACGATTTTGGGCATGGTGAGCCATGTCGCGCGCGTCTCGGCGAGCAGAGCGCGGGGGGGGGGGGCAGCCCGAAGTCCAGCCGCTTGCAACTGTCAAAAAAATCAAAAGAAAAGCTAGGGCAATTTTTAAAAATATTGCGCGCAGAGGATGGTTTTGTCTATCGCCAAAATTCGAAATTTGCGGTATACCACGGCGTCTCCATAGACAATTAACATACGGCAACGTGCCATTAGAATGAATAATGGGATATGGAGGAGCTTTCTCGTCATTGCACCACTATCATTTCATATCATTTCGTCCCCCCGATGGGTCATCGTCCCCGCCCCTCGGCATCATCCGATGCCTACACTAGGCCGTCCTTCTGGTTTCTGCTTCTCTGCGCCATCCCCATCGTCATCAGTCAAGCCGATAACCCGTAAGATAATTTTCTTTTTCGGTCAGAGTTTACTTTACATCCCCCCCAGCCGGAAGGTCCCAAAAATTGTTTTAAGGTCACCAATCGGTAGCCCTAGGCCCCAGCTACTATCCCCTGGCCGGAAATTGCGAGAAAAAACTTAAAAGTAAAATTTATACAGTTAAAATAGTGTTTGAGCGATTAGTCTGATTTTGCTTGTGCTTGCCGTAGCTATTTTATTTTACATTATTTTGGTTGCAATTAAAACTCTTTTGGCTACGGTTTAATTTACCCCCCCAGCCGAAACCAATTTTTTTCCTGGTGGGCCGGTTGACCTAGTTGTCGAAACTTTCCTACGAGATTTCATCTCCTAGGAGTTTCGAGGATGAATTACCTGGGATAATAGGGGTTGGCAATATGCCAGGGGTCCCGCCGCGATGACCTCTACGGTAGCGGGCTGTGTGAGCGCCCTCCCGGCGCTCTCTGTGATTATGCTTGCATATTCCCCCGCTATCCCGAAAGGGTGTTGCGGCCAGTCGTTGCTTCGGCACGGCTTGGTGAGAGTGCTGTGAGCCGGGGACGTGGTTTACCACTATCCGGAGCACAGTAAACCTCTGGCGAATGCAACCTTTCGACACCCTTGCCAAACTTGGCCCGCCTGGCCTTCGACGCTTGTATTATCCTCAGACACCTTTTCTCATGTGCCCGATTATATTCCGTCACTGTTCTAATAAACCTGTTCTCTTAATCCTTTGCAGGTCTTTAGCAAATGCACTTTATTACTACCACTGAACACCGAACGCGCATAACTGATAATGAGTGCAGACAGGGCCGGAAGACTGAGGTGGCAATCCGGGTCCTCCCTTGGGGATTTATTCTCCTTGGTGTATTTACACTCTGGGAGGGCTCGGAGGCTCAATCTTTTCGACATGGTGCAGTCGAGCCGTAGTGATCACCGGGCCACTCGTCATTTGCCTTTTGCCGTTGACCTGCTCAACCTCGACATACGGATATACCCCGCGACACTTGTTTTTTCTTCGACACCACTGCCGGCCAGCAGTGTTTTGCTATGGATGGACACCGACATTTGGTCTGACGATCGCGGACACCTTCCTTCTCTTTGGACCCCTTTTGCTGAGGCATTCAAGCTTTATGGAATCTGACAAGGGATGAAGTTTAGTAAGTTTGTGGTAAGCGTTGGGCGACAACCCAACATTCGTTTGGTAGCCTGCCGTGTTGGTGAATTTCTCGGCTCTTTGAGCCAGTTTTTCAGAGAAAATCAGGATGTGGACGATGGATGCTGTGGTGCCATGCCGCCCCAAGATGGGGAGAGGTGCGCGGCAGCAGCTGAAGTTTTTCAAGGAATGATGGAAGTGAATGTCGTCCAGCCGTTGCGAAACTAGAAGAAAAAGCGAGTGGAGCAATCGGATGCATTTTAAAAGGTTTATTTGGTTTTACTTTTGTCTTTTCCAGGGCGAAAAGAGTTTATAATCGTGTCCAATGGTCATCGCTGGCGGTTGCGGTGCTCTAGAGAATGGGAAGGCCTCGCTCCACGTGCTGTGAGGCGCTCTTCACCAGGCCTCGACAACGTTTTGGCCCCAATCTACCCAAGAAGGATGCGGGCGACATGGCGTGATCAGTGTGCGGGATGGTCGACGACAATATGGGCGCTTCCATCAATGCAACTTCGTTCTACTACAAGCGTACAAGCTTCAAGTCGACACCAAGCGCTGCCCAAGCCTTTTTGCCGTTCGACACAAGTTTTTTTCGACACTCGACACCCTCTACGAGGTGTTTTTCGACACCGACAGCCTTGAGAAAGCTGTTTTCGTGCTCGAAACACTGGCCGATCTACATATGCGCTCACTCTATACTTTTGCCGATGCTTCAACACTTCCGCTGAGTGATGTGCACCAACTTCTCATCAACTACGACAATTTTTTCGAGGTGATATTGCCCCACAGCCTTGAGAAAGCTGTTGGTGTTGCAATTTTTACTGGCCAATCAATTTGCAGTTAGGCGCTGACTTTTCTCGCGACATCGGGCGTTTGCAAAGAAGAAATCGACACACGTTGCCTCGGTGCTCGACACTTTTTCGCAAGCTCTTCCTGCGCTTCGACAAGGTCTCATCGATGGCGACGCGCGCTCAACGACAACCCGTCCTGCACAAGAAGCTGATCAAGACTGCGACTACACGACTACAAACAATGGGAAAGGAACGAAGCTTGGACCGCCTGAAGCGAACAAAGCCACTTTTCTTTCTACCTTTCGCCGAATTGCTTCATGATTTCTATCCGCGTCTTCTTTTGCTCTCCAAATACTTTTTGCACACGCGTTGATTTACTTTTCTTTTTGTGCGACACCTTGGATCACTTTGGAATTTTATCTTCCTTAGTTTTTTCAAACCCGACACTTGGCTTATCGCCGCTCGACACTTGGCTTGATGCCGCCCGACATTCGGCATCACATCGTGCAACGTCTGGTCGACTTCCGCTCGACATCAAGCAGCCCTGCCGCGTGTTCCACGACTACTGATGGTCCAGGGAGCTGCTCTATGGAAGAAGGTTGCTGCTCAAAGATGTTGCCCTTCGCTCAATGCTCTTTGGACATGCCAGGCATCTACAACGTCACATTCTACTTCGATGAATCGAACGGATGTGCAAAAACCCACGGTGGTGATGTGACATCTGGTTCCGGGAGACACTTGCTGCCGAATGGCCGTCTACTCGTCATCTATCTACTGCGCATTGCTGATGTGGTGTATCCTGCTCTCTGCGCTCTTCACTTGGCACAACTACACAGCAAGCAGATGGTCTACAACACATTTGCTGCTCCATGGCCGCCTGTTCGTCAACTAGCTGCCGCTCGCCGATGATGTTCTTCGTCGTTCGCCTTCACAATGCCGGACAACGAGTCTGCTTCACGCCGTTCTTCGCTCACCGTGCGTCCAACGCTGCTCGCCTACTCGCCCAGCTACGCAGACAACTTCCGTCTCGCTGCGCCAACTTCAAGCTTCCTCTGCCATGTTCGACAATGCCGTGGGTGCTGCTGCTGCTCACCATGGTGCTCCACGGTTGCCGTTTGCGACAACTGACACATGGCAATGGATTCGTGATGCGACACTCAAGCTGGCGCAAGGACAGCGACATGCCGAGCAACTTCGCCGCTTCTCGCGTCTACCTTTTGGCGTCACCGGATCATCAGCTGCACTCAACACCACAATTCACTGTTCGACAACGTCGTCATCCGCATGGTCGTCACCTTCCACGACGTTCACCTGTCAATCGACACCGCCGCCAACGTTGCTTACTTCTACAGGTCCAGTGCCAGATGCTCATCGGTCAAGATATTCTGCCAGAGCTTCGCGACGTCACTTCTCCGTCATTCCGCTTGCCTTCGGGACGAATCGTCGACTTTCTACAAGTTCGGAACAGTCATCAGCGGATCCAACCAAGGCAGACGATCTCTCATTCAGAAGCTCAACGACCCGGAGTACGAGGGCACGGAGGTCACCCTGCCGTTTGGCAGCCCGACTTACGAGCTGCATACTCCGACACCGAGCCGCTGAAGAGAGACACACCTTTACGATCTTCTATTCAGGACCTCTACGAGCCGAAGTACGAGGGCAAGGAGGTCAGCCTGTCGTATGGCAGCCAGACTTACATGCTGCATACTCCGACAGACGAGCCGGAGTACGAGGGCAAGGAAGTCACCCTGTCGTATGGTAGCCCGACTTACTTGCTGCATACTCCGACACACGAGGCGAAGAAGAGAGACAACCCTGTACTTTTTCATGGAACCACACGCTGACTCCGACACTCCACCCGAGTTCCTGGAACTCAAGCGGAAGACGACAACTGACCGATGGCGCTACAGCAACATCGGCATCCGACCTTTCTCGACTTCGCCGCCTGCTCCTTGCTGTGCATGCGGATGTCTACTACGTATCGGCGCGACATCTACTTCTCCTCAGTTCAACTTCTGCTGCACGATCGTGTACAATACGTCAATGAGCACATGTACAAGCGTCTACGCCCGCAACAAACCGAACTTCAACAGCGACAATCGCCCCTCACCTCCATCGCGCTGGCTTGAGATGTGCGACACACATGCGGAACAACAACGCGCTCACACGGAAGAACTCGTCTCTTGCCGCGCCTCGTCACTGTTTCCAAACAGAGTTGCGCTTCTTCGACATCACTGTGCTAGAGCCTCGTCTACCGGATGTCAGCATTCCTGTTGGCCGCTACTCGCGTCGCCCAGTACCTCGCACTGCTGATGCTCAACACACTTTCGCGACATCAAGCCTCTTCGGGGACAACGTCAAGCGGATCTCTTCTTCTGCGCCGCCTTTCAAATCTTTTTCAGGCAGCCGCAATCGAACAGAGAAGATGTACAAGGCTTTGCGTCCTACATTGTGAGACGCTTCCGCATTCCGACAACAAGCACCGCCGCAACACGCTGATCGCCAACGTGCTCTGGTCGCTGCAGCTGTGTATTTTCCTTCCGCCGCTCCCACCTTTCAAGAAGCGCCGCCGAGTGCAAACTGAAGCGACGCGACCGCTGCAACGACATCATCCACGCATGCTGGTCAACTGTCAAGGAATGGCTTGAGACATCTGTGCTAGCAACATCCGTTCTTCGTGACACTTGCTGCCACCTTTCCGCCTGCCCGTCGATGAGCCATGCGAATGCCCGCAAACGCTGGCACCGACACCGGCAACTCAAGGCCAACGCTGCGCAAGTCAATTTTCTTCTAGCGGCCGCCATTGACATGATCACCTTTCAAGTCATCAAGACTCGGACAAGGCGACAACAATCTTCGAAGGAATGCTTTGAGACTTGTGCCTGCACAATCGTCTGCGCCATTCGAAGACTTGCGACACCGAGGCCAACTTTTGATGTTCTCTGCGAGTACACTGGTCACATCAAGGATCTTCTGATGCCTGTGACAACTTACAACATGCTCCTCCTGCCGTACGAGATGCTTTATTCCTCTACAATTCTGCAAGCGTTGCAACGCCAGCGACACCGCTTTGTGCCTCGATTAGACTGTTGTCAAGGGTTGTTGGCGTAAGCCAACAATTTCGCGACACTTTCTGTTTGGCTGGGACTTACAAGAGCCACCTTCGTCAAGCCGATACGATGATTGGACTTCAAGCTACGATCAGCTACGCCGACAAGTCCTCGATCAAGCTTCCGATCTACGAGCAACCGCCAGGATATGTTCCAGCTTCGCTTTGGCCAGACCACCGCTCTTTCAAGAGGTTTTATTTGGTACTTTTTTCTCAGATAAGCCGAATGCGAGGGCGAGCCAGGGCGTAGCGACACTTCAAGCCTTTGCTGACGCTATCGGAGGCGACTACGTTTTCTTCGGCGGGACGAGACATCGGTAGCTGGTTGACAAAACGCTTCGCGGAAGTGCGATCGACACATGCACTTGTGCCGGAACAACTTCGTCACCTTCTGACTGCTTGCTCGCTCGCCGACTACTGCTGAACTGCATCGACAACATCCACGCCTCGAGCTGCGATACATCGAACAACAGCAAGCTTCGCCACCAATACTGCTGCGCCCCTGCCTAGCGTCATCGTCAACTCCAAGCCTACCAATTGTTCGGCGACACTCGTACCACGCCACACAGCAAGATCTGCCAACGCTTCGTCTATTGCTGAGATCGAACGCCGGCTGACAACGAACGCGCCTATTAGTTCTTCGGATTGCCGCGACACGAAAGTAGCTGCACATTTTGTCAAATGTTCGCACACAAGGAATGGATCAGGGGCGACATGCAACAATAAGGACGCGCTCATCATCAAGCTGTCTACACAGCCATCCGCTACGAATGGCCAATTTGCTTGCTCGGCTCTACCACCTGCCAGTCCAGACCTTGCGAGGCCGCCGGGATAATTTTTTTCCAGATCTTCCTCGGAAAAGCTGCGACACGCTGTGCACCAATGCGGACACAACACCGCTCTCTTCTACATCTGTGGCAGCCAAACAATGCCGCTACGGTCGACTTCGCTTCAGGATGACGACAAGGTCAACACCTGCTGCGCCGACTGTCTCTACGGCCGACGGTTTCCCGACAACAATCCAAGTTTCGCCAACAGCTTCGGCGGCTCGGTCGACTCCTCAACATCATCGAGTCGAGTCTTCTGCCACCGATTGCTGCTCGATCACTCAGGTTTTCTTTACCTAAACATATGCTCAGATTTGTTGCTGCGGGACATCGTGCTGAAGAAAGAGACACTCGTTGGAAGCGTGCGACACCTGGCAAGCCTGCCAGTTATTGCCATCTGACAAGCCTCCCGCGTTCTACGACAGTCAACTCGCTGCGTTTGCTCCACGTCATGGTCGCGACAAGATGCTTCACGCTACAACGCTCAAGCTGATCGCCTCAACGTACACTACATCAAGCTGCGCTAGGACGCTGTACAAGAATATCTCCGTTGCTGCCGTCTGCAAGCTACACCGGCCACATCTCATCCGAGCGGCGCCACTGCGACATTCTGCTGCCGCGCTTCATGCTCTGCCGACAACATCTCATACGAGAAGTGGCACTGCACCATTCGACTGCGGTCACGACTCATGCGCCGCCGTACCAAGTCATCTGAGCGACGTCACTGAGACAACATGGCTTCACGCTCCGCAATTCTCCTGCTTTGGCGCCAGACTTTGCCCATCCTCGAGGTGCTGACCACAAGGACAACTTCTACAATCGAGCGGCTTGTGAGACGGTGATTTCGAGACAGCTGGCCCGCGTTGCAACACGGAGCTGGTCTCGCCTTTGCGCAACTCGTCTCTTCACTCCGTCTACAAGCTCGACTTGCCTCCACAACTTCGCCTCGCCTACAGTTGAAGGAAGAGCCAAGCTCGACCAGCAAGTTCAGCATGATTCTTGCCGCCTCCTCGACAAGTACGACTACGGCGACGACATTCGCTGCGGTCACTACTACTTCTTCCACTTCATCGACTTCCGGCGTATCAACTCACAGAACTTGGGCCGCCGCGAGCATTTGGATCAACACGTCTGCATATCAGGATTTCTTCAAGCTGCCCGCGCCAAGTGGGACAACTCAGTCGACATCGATTGTCGCCGCGTTGCTTTTTTCTTCCACCAAGCTGATGGAATACTACATGGGCCGCGGACTACTTCAAGTGCCAAGTTCATCACTTCCGCTGCTGCTTTCGTCCTACATCTACAACTTCGACTTCGCTTTCAAGACGGCCATCACGCGACGCGCCGACCTTCGTCCGCCCCGCGACAAGCCGATTGATGACATTCGTCCACGCCGAGACGTTATTCAAGTTCGCGTCACCGCCTTACTGCATTACGACATTACATGGTGACAAGGAGGTTTCGTGAGAGGATTCCTCCCCACCACCACTCGACACCCTCTCAAGGTTCTTCGGAACCTTCGCCATGCTCGCCTACAACTTCACCTGGACGGCTGCGCGAGAGGCAAGAGTACAAGCTCGACAACACTTCGCAAGACAACATCGACGCGAAGTGCCACAAGCCTCTTCTCGACCACCAGCCTGCCTCAAGTCCACTACACGCCAGCCGCTGCCGAAAATCCGATAAGTCATCCCCCTCCCCTCTCCCCAGTTGGTTCGGCAGGAGTACGGGCTCCTTAGCGCCGACCAACTATTTTATTGTCAGTTGCCCCTCCCCTAGCTTTTATCTAACCCATTTTCGTCTTCCCGCCCCCACAGTGCAGAACATTTTCTACCACGTTATTGGTCCCTCTGTACCCCAACTTTCCCCCGGGCCGGGCGGACTTGTTTGTAAATTCTTGGGCCGCCGCGAGGCTCCCACTCAACCTCCCCTCGTAAGGTTCCTTGCTCCCTTCACCGGGGGCGGCACTTTCTGGCTCTTGCGCGGGCCGGGAGTGTCGAAACTTTCCTACGAGATTTCATCTCCTAGGAGTTTCGAGGATGAATTACCTGGGATAATAGGGGTTGGCAATATGCCAGGGGTCCCGCCGCGATGACCTCTACGGTAGCGGGCTGTGTGAGCGCCCTCCCGGCGCTCTCTGTGATTATGCTTGCATATTCCCCCGCTATCCCGAAAGGGTGTTGCGGCCAGTCGTTGCTTCGGCACGGCTTGGTGAGAGTGCTGTGAGCCGGGGACGTGGTTTACCACTATCCGGAGCACAGTAAACCTCTGGCGAATGCAACCTTTCGACACCCTTGCCAAACTTGGCCCGCCTGGCCTTCGACGCTTGTATTATCCTCAGACACCTTTTCTCATGTGCCCGATTATATTCCGTCACTGTTCTAATAAACCTGTTCTCTTAATCCTTTGCAGGTCTTTAGCAAATGCACTTTATTACTACCACTGAACACCGAACGCGCATAACTGATAATGAGTGCAGACAGGGCCGGAAGACTGAGGTGGCAATCCGGGTCCTCCCTTGGGGATTTATTCTCCTTGGTGTATTTACACTCTGGGAGGGCTCGGAGGCTCAATCTTTTCGACACTAGTCATCAAATATAAAGTGTTTTCGAATTGTTTTTGGTGGGTGGCGATCCCCTGTCCGAAAAACACCTGTCCGAAAATTATCTGTCCGAAAAACAACTGTCCGAAAAATCGCCTGTCCGAAAAACATCTGTCCGAAAAATCACCCGTCCGAAACGTCGCCTGTCCGAAAAATCGCCTGTCCGAAAATCATCCATCCGAAAATCTACTGTCCGAAAAGTCATTTTCGGACCTTGAAATGGAAGTGCGGCTGAAACTTCCCAAGACCTTCAGGTAATCTATTCAAACCGGATTTTGGAGGAAATGGGAGGGTAGTTTCCAGGGATACGAACCGCTACTGTATCATAAATTTTTGGAGAGTGACTCAATGAGCTCGGGCAGGCAGTCCCTAAGATACCGCCGATGAAACTTGGTTTGGTCACGATTCCGGGGCTTTCCCCACGTGGGGCTATCTGGTGGCAGTTACACCTCTAACCTTTAGGAAGTGACTAAGTAATTCGAAAAGGGTTTTGATTGGCTGCTTCGGACATTAGTTTTTCGGACTGGTGTTTTTCGGACATTTGATTTTTCGGATAGACGATTTTCGGACAAGTGTTTTTTCGGACAC